GGATGGAGACCTATCTCATGACTTAGCAGTCTCTGCCTCTGGATATAACAGCAATAATCCATAATTGCAGTGCTGCAAAACATACGCTGCATGTTTCTAAATCTTCAATCCATTTACTCCAAATATTTTAATCCTGATCAAAGCATAGAAAGATCTCCAATCTGCTGGCTCTCCGTTCACTGCAGTCAATCTATTCACAAGAAACCTGATGTTTGAAGTGAAATTGCTTTTGCGTAAAAATAATTTGTGGATTTAATTTTGTTTAATTTGTACTCATTTGACTAAAGAGTCTGTGCTTCTGGAATTTACAATCTGGCCGTTCTATTCGCAAGTTATAGGTTTTCTAATCTGAACACAACATGTCTTAGAAACCAAGAAGCAAGCAACTACTTATGTCCCTGCGTTTACCAAATTCGAGCATGTGCTGACTAAGGTCGCTGTGCTTATTGACGCCTCAACTTATACACGTATGTCTCAACCTATATACAGTATCTGTTTATCAGAACCTAGCTACATACATGCACAAACATACATACATGTCGAACTGTGGTAAATAGTTCAAGGCGATAAGATGTTTGGTTTTGCTATGTTGAATATGTTGGCAGAAGTGGCTGAAATGTTGGTTTTGCAGGGGATTTGGATCAGACAATGCCGAGTAAAGAAGAGATCACGCAGAGATTTCTTGCTATAGGTCCTTGTGAGTTAATGATCTCGGGATTCTATGCGTTTAGACATAATGTGAATCATGTAAATGTTGGTATTTTGTGGAAGAATCAACTATGATAGGGTTATAGTAATACATTGTGTATGGAGTTAATAGTTACGATGTTATAAATGTTGATGCTTATTTGGTGATGGAGGTATGGGTGTTGTTGTATGTTGGTAAAGTTAATGGAAGCATTGCAAGGGTATATGTGAAATATATGCGTTCAAGCCTACATCAGGACCTTCAACTCATCGTTTAAATTCAGCGTAGGGGAGAAAGCTGCACTATAAGATTAGATGTTAAACTGAAGCCCTGTCCATCTGCTTGGGTGAATGGTAAAGATCCAATGTACTCTTCAAAAAGCGAAGAGAGTTTCTCCTGCTAAACCGCAGAGACAAAATTGTGAAATCCATATCAAGGCTGATTCTGGGACATTACTGTGTGCAACTTAACTGCTTCAATCATCTATAAATACACAGCCACTATGCTTTACGCTGCAAAGCATTTTGAAATGTTTTGATTTGATAAGGCACTGTATCAAATGCAATTATTATTATTATTATGTAGATCTATAGCTGTAGTTGCAGATTTGGTACAGACAAATGGAGGTGTTAGCTTGGATAGGAAATTAGTTGAGAGATAAGAGACAGAGAGTTGATATGAAAGAAACCTTCTCTGATTGTCGGGCAGTTCATACTTGAACTTCAATGGCAAAAACCCACAGAATAGTGTTTTGCCCACAAAATATATAGTAATTCACTTTACAGTATATTCTGTGAGGATCTTTGAGATGTCTCAATAATGTGATAAGGCGCTATATCAAAATGCAAGGATTATTATTATTATAAGAACGGTGACCAAAATGTAGTAGGTTGTTAATGTTCAGATAACGGGGGAGTGGGGGGGTGGTGGGTGGGGGGGCGAAATTTGCTGCATGCAAATGGGAAATTTAGGAGCAAGTGAGAGACAAAATTGAGATGACATAGGACAAGACTGTGACTGTGACAACAAGGATCTGCAGAATGAGTGAATGAAAAAACAGGGAAAACTGCAAATGTCTTTATTTCAAACAAGAACCCTGTGACTGAAGTTATTGGAGTAACTGTAATTTTTTTTTATCAATCCTTTATATTAAAATAATCCTTGCATTTGATATAGCGCCTTTCACATTGGAAGATTGTCTCAAATGTACTTCAACGAGCTTTACTGTAAATGTATTCTGTAGCCCCACATTCTGGACTCCATCATATTCTTCATAAATTCAAAGATTATCAACTAAATTATGATTGGTTAATAATACTAGAGCGATTGCTGATATTGCAGTTCCAATACATGAGACTGAGAAACAAAATCCTATCGAATGCAAGGATTAATATAGTCTGGGTTTGTCCATTGTATCTACAAGAAAGCCGTGCCCAATGGAACATACTCAAGAGGATTGATACTGTGTGCATGTAGGTACTTTGGAAGTTAAGAAGCAACAGAGATCAGTTTAGATATGATGAAAGTGAGATTAGAACTGACGAAAGTTGGTTTAGGAGTGACGGAGATTAATTTAGATATGACGAATGTGATCTTAGAAATAATAATAAATAATAATCCATTTGATATAGCACCTTGTCATGTTTGCCGAAATGTCTCAAACTCCGTCATAGGATTTTTCCTGTAAAGTGTAGTGTCTGTGTATTTTGTAGAGAAATGCAGCAGCCAATTTCCACACAGCACTGAGCCACCAACAGCCGTGAAATAATTAAGCATTTTTATCTGGTCAGGACAGCGTGAGAAATTCCCTAGTTTTTGAATAGCACCATCTATAACGTCCACTCAAATTGGCAAACAGGACCTCGATTTAACAACTAATCCAAAGGACAGCATCCCCAACATTAGAGTGCCAGCCGAGGCTTGTGAGTTCAAAGTCCAACATGGGGCTCAAACCCAAAACCTTTTGGCACGTGAAGTGACAGAGGTTAGTTTAGAAGTGACAAGAGGCACATTTAAAAGTGATGGAGATCAGATTAGACAGATGGAGGTTAGTTTGGAAGTGACAAAGGTTAAGTTAGAACAGTCAGAGGCTAATTTAAAAGTGATGCAGGTGAGTCTCGAAGCAATGAAGACAAGTCTAAAAGTGAGGGAGATAAGTCTAGAAGTGTGGGAGGTTAATCTAGAAGTGACAGAAATTGGTCTAGAAGTGACAGATTAGTTCAGAGTCGCAGAGATAGTTTAGAAATAATGGTCAATGTTTAGAAGCGGTGGAGAATAGTCTAGAAGCGACAGAAATTGGACGAGAAGCAACAGAGATGTGTTTGGAAGTAACGGCAATATGTCTAGAAATGAGGGTTGCGTCTGGAAGTGAAAGAGGTAAGTCTAGAAGTGAGGGAGTGCATCAAGGTGTCGCAGAGATGAGGATAGAAGTGATAGAGATTAGTCTGGATGTGACTGAGAAAAGTCTAGAAACAACAAAAAAGTGACAGATATATTCAAAAGATAAAGATAACAATAATAATAATAATCTTTACATTTGGTATAGTGCTTTTCACATTGGGAGGATGGCCAAACTGCTACACAGATATTGTATAAAGTGAAGTGACTGTGTTTTGTGGACGAGACTAGAGGTGAGTCTAGAAGTGATGGGGATTAGTCTAGAAGTGACAGCATTGCATTTAGAAGGGACAGAGAAAGCTTAGAGGTGGAGGAGACAGTTAAAAGTGAAAGCAATAGCCTAAAAGTGATGGAGATTAAACTAGAAGTCACCAACAAATGACAGAGATAGTTTACAAGGGTTGGAAGCGCATTTAGAAATGATGTAGGTGAGTCTAGACATAACAGGGATTAGTCTAGAGGTGATGGAGAACCATCTAATAGCAACAAACAAGTGATAGGTTGTTTAAAAGGGGTAGAGATAGTTTAGAAGAAGGGGTGAGTCTAGACGTGAGGGAGATTAGTCTAGAAGAAGCAGCGATGAGTCTAGAAGAGACGGAGATGAAATACGACAGAGTTCATTTGAAAGGTGACAAGAGATTTGTTTAAAAGTTACTGGAATCGGTTCCAAAGTGCCAGTGATTAGTTTAGATGTGATGGAGGTTAAGATGAAATGACAGACGTGAGTGTTGAGGGAGTTGCATTTTGAAGTAACCGATCTTAAATTGGTCCTGACGGAGGTGAGGTTGTAAGCGACTGAGATCACTGCAGAGGCGCCGGCAATCAGTTTAGATATCATGGGGAACGAGTTGAGAAGTGACGGAGATGAGTTGAGATGCGATGAGGAGGGAGCTGAGATGATAAGCCTCGCATTTGACGTAACGCCTTATCACGTCTTCGAGGCATCTCAAAGCGCGTCGCAGAATAAACTGTAATGTGAATTGACTGCATGTTTTGCGGGCAAAACGCGGCAGCCAATTGCGCACAGCAGCGTCCCACAAACAGTCGGGGATTGAAGGGACCAAGTTATTATAATTATTTTTCTGATGGAATTATTACCCCCACCCCGCCGAAACATCGAGTTGTGTAGCGAATGAGTCGGGATGTGATGTTGGGATGTGACCAGAGTGAGTTGGGATGTGATGGGGATGAGTTGGGATGTGGTGATGGGGATGAGTTGGGGATGTGGTGATGGGATAAGTTGGGGATGAGTTGGGATGTGGTGATGGGATGAGTCGGGGATGAGTTGGGGATGTGGTGATGGGGATGAGGTGGGGAAGGGATGGGGATGAGTTGGGGATGTGATGGGGATGAGTTGGGATGTGGTGATGGGGATGAGTTGGGGATGTGATGGGGATGAGTTGGGGATGAGTTGGGGATGTGATGGGGGTGAGTTGAGGATGTGATGGGGATGAGTTGGGGGGATGTGATGGGGATGTGACGGGGATGAGTTGGGGATGAGTTGGGGATGAGTTGGGGATGTGATGGGGGTGAGTTGAGGATGTGATGGGGATGAGTTGGGATGTGGTGATGGGGATGAGTTGAGGATGTGATGAGGATGAGTTGGGGATGAGTTGGGGGGATGTGATGGGGATGTGATGGGGATGAGTTGGGGATGTGATGGGGATGAGTTGGGGATGTGATGGGGATGAGTTGGGCGGATGTGATGGGGATGAGTTGGGGGGATGTGATGGGGATGTGATGGGGATGAGTTGGGGATGTGACGGGGATGAGTTGGGGATGAGTTGGGGGGATGTGATGGGGGACGGCAGGTCTGGTGCTGGGGCAGGAGATGATGATGATGATGATGATGATGATGGTGGGGAGGGAGGGGGAGGGGGGAGGTGCAGGGAGGTCTCCCGCCCTGATCTCTTACCCGCTATGATGGCGGGGCTGCTCTGTCCCCCCTGAGGCTTGAGCCACAGTTCGGCGGTGAAGGGTCCCCGCGGGAGGTCCGCCCGGCGCTGCCTCTCCAGCTGCTCCCTCCGGCCGCTGAAGTGCAGGACGGTCGCCGCCGCCGTGGCCGCCGTGGCCGCCGTGGCCGGTGTTGCCGGGGGGAGCGGCCCGCGGGCCGGTCCCGGCCCGCCGGGAGCAGCTCCGTCCCAGGCGGCGGGCGGGCGGGGGTCGGCGGCCCCCCCGCTCTCGGCAGCCTGGAAGCCGCTGCCGTGTTCCCCGAAGTGCCCCCGACCCGGAGCGCCGTCGTCCCGGGGCGGCGGCGGCGGCGGCGACGGGGGAGATGGCGGCGGCGGCGGCGGAGGCGGCGGCGGCGGGTCCCCGGGTCGGTGGTGGTCGCCCCCTCCGCTCGGGTCCTGTGGCCGCGGGTACCTGCCCAGCGGGTGGTGGACGGGCAGCGACCGGCGGCTCCTCCTCGCCCCGGGCACGGCCGGCGGGCAGCGCCGGTCCCCCGGGGGCGGTGGGCGGGGGCCGCCCGGCGCGCGCTGGTCCCGGGGCGGCGGCGGCGGCGGGGGGTCAGCACCGAGTCCGGACACCGCCAGCGGCAGGACATCCAGAGAGAGGAGAAGCCAACACAGGAGACCCGAAGCCCTCATGGCCACCGGTCAAGTCAGGGCAGGACCTGTCCCCCTCCCACACACCCACTCACAGCACCCACCACCCACACACCCACCCACCCACAGCACCCACCACCCACACACCCACCCACTCACTGCACCCACCACCCACCCACTCACAGCACCCACCACCCACACACCCACCCACTCCACAGCACCCACCCACTCACAGCACCCACCACCCACACACCCACCCACTCACTGCACCCACCACCCACCCACTCACAGCACCCACCACCCACACACCCACCCACTCACTGCACCCACCACCCACCCACTCACAGCACCCACCACCCACACACCCACCCACTCACTGCACCCACCACCCACACACCCACTCACAGCACCCACCACCCACACACTCACAGCACCCACCACCCACAGCACCCACCACCCACACACCCACCCACTCACAGCACCCACCACCCACACACCCACTCACAGCACCCACCACCCACCACCCACACACCCACTCACAGCACCCACCACCCACCACCCACACACCCACTCACAGCACCCACCACCCACACACCCACTCACAGCACCCACCACCCACACACCCACTCACAGCACCCACCACCCACACACCCACTCACAGCACCCACCACCCACACACCCACTCACAGCACCCACCACCCACCCACCCACTCACAGCACCCACCACCCACACACCCACCTACAGCACCCACCACCCACACACCCCACAGCACCCACCACCCACACACCCACCCACAGCACCCACACACCCACACACCCACAGCACCCACCACCCACCCACCCACTCACAGCACCCACCACCCACACACCCACCTACAGCACCCACCACCCACACACCCACAGCACCCACCACCCACACACCCACCCACAGCACCCACCACCCACACACTCACAGCACCCACCACCCACACACCCACTCACAGCACCCACCACCCACACACTCACAGCACCCACCACCCACACACCCACCCACACACCCACCCACAGCACCCACCACCCACACACAGCACCCACCACCCACCCACCCACTCACAGCACCCACCACCCACAGCACCCACCACCCACACACCCACCCACAGCACCCACCACCCACCACCCACTCACAGCACCCACCCACACACAGCACCCACCACCCACACACCCACCCACAGCACCCACACACCCACACACCCACCCACAGCACCCACCACCCACAGCACCCACCACCCACACACCCACCCACAGCACCCACCACCCACACACAGCACCCACCACCCACACACCCACCCACAGCACCCACCACCCACACACTCACAGCACCCACCACCCACCCATACAGCACCCACCACCCACACAGCACCCACCACCCACACAGCACCCACCACCCACACACAGCACCCACCACCCACACACTCACAGCACCCACCACCCACCTACAGCACCCACCCACCAGCCCTCACAACAGCACCCACCAGCCCTCACCCACACACAGCACCCACCAGCCCTCACCACAGCACCCACCCACCCACCCACCAACCTTCACCACCAGCACCAGCAGCAAATAGCCTAAACTTAACTGACCCTAAACTGAAACACAGCCCCTTTAAACTCTCTGTAAACTTCGCAACGTCCTGCGGGAATCTCAGGTGGTGATGATATAAAATTGCATTAAAAATAAAACTTCATTGGATTCCAACTTTCCCTCTCTCTCTCTCTCCCTTTCTCTCTATCTCTCTGTGTCTCTGTCTGTGTCTGTCTGTCTCTGTCTCTCTTGCTCTGTGTGTGTGTGTGTGTGTATCTGTCTCTCTCTCTCTGTCTGTGTCTCTCTGTCTGTCTGTGTCTCTCTCTCTTGCTCTGTGTGTGTGTGTGTATCTGTCTCTCTCTCTGTCTGTCTGTCTGTGTCTCTCTGTCTGTCTGTCTGTCTGTCTGTCTGTCTGTCTGTCTGTCTGTCTGTCTGTCTGTCTGTGTCTCTCTCTCTTGCTCTGTGTGTGTGTGTGTATCTGTCTCTCTCTCTGTCTGTCTGTGTCTCTCTGTCTGTCTGTGTCTCTCTCTCTTGCTCTGTGTGTGTGTGTCTCTCTCACTCAATTAAAAGCTCGTGTGTGTGTGTGTGTGTTTGGGTGGTGTGCAGTTTTTTTTTGCTAAAATATTGGTGGTGGTGGTGGTGGTGGGTTCTCTTTTCCCCCCAGTTTTTGCTGAATGAAACATCGGTGTTTGCCTTTCTTCTCCCTCCACTCTCTCCACTTTCTCTCCTCTTCCTTCCTCTCTTGAAAAAAAAAGAATAATAATTTAACCCCAAAAAAAGAAAAAAAGATCTAAACAAAAATTGTTGGCGATGAATTAAAAGGTAAAAAAAAATTAAAAGGTGTGTGTGGGTGTGTGTGGGGGGGGGGGGGAGAACCTGTGATTCCTTTTAAACGAGCGACAAGGAAACTATCTGTCCAACAGATTTGTGAGTGAGTGAGTGTGAGTGAGTGTGTGAGTGAGTTGTGAGTGAGTGATGTGT